TACCGCAAAGTCAGATTTAAACGAACACAACAACACAAAAGTGAATCTCCTGACCGGATGGATAAACAAATATCAATTACATCAAATTGTAGCAGAAACAAGGTAGGGCATATCCTTTTCTCATAGTCATGGCGATTGTTTCCACTAAAAGCAGACAAAATCAGGAAATGGTAAAAAGAACATCTCCAAGGACCAACCCTCCGTGCGGCAACTTCTCTAGAAAGAAAAAAGATGGTCTCTTTCAAGAAAATTTCAATTGTTGTGTTCGCACTATTCAATCTTTACAACGGTGTCGCTGGTTCTTCCCCAGATTTGACAGTGGTTTCTGAACAATGCAACACCCAAACGGTTAGGGGACCAGGTTTGGTGACAGCCGTCCAAAAAGTTCTTCATGACGTGATGACAATAACGCCGCTTGCAGATAGTGATTTCTATTGCCAGATCCCAGTAGATGAATCCCGCACTACATTCTTTTTCGGTCATGGAGCGTGCAATGGAGCACTTACGATGTTACAGTGTTACAGTTGCTTGGAAGCCGTGGCCGATCAAATCAAACAAGATTGCCCATCGAGATATGGGGCTAACTTACAGGTTAAGGACTGTAGAGTTAGATACGAGTTCTATCCGTTTACCGATTGATGAGTTCTGAGTGATTGCCAAGTAAGCGCCCATTTAATAAGCTGTTCAATACAGCAAGTGTGTGCTATCTAAATTTTCAAGAGCTACACTGGACCTTGCTGTTCATTTTATGGTTTGATTTCTCTGTTATGTTGTGAGATCTTCAATCATCATGTATCTTTCAAGTTTCCTTAAAATATGATCAGAGTGAGTCAAGATTTGAGTTATGCAACTTAGCATGCTCTTCGGAGATGCTTTCATGAGCATACATGTGATGCTTAACTTCTTACATTGATTTGTCTGGTTGCTATCCTTGCCAAGTAAATGTTGATTAAGACAATCTTGATCAATCGCCCATGTTATACAAATTACAGAGATCGATTGTACCAAGAAAGTTCAAGGACCTAGTCAAGCAAACAAGAGTTCTTTGATGAATCCAAGTGTACTTACCCAAAACGATTAATGACAAAGAATGATTACTAGTGCTGAAAGATGATAGGGAGGTTCAAAGATATCAATCTTGTCTTCTTATATCAATGAATTATTTCTAGGGTTGATACCATAAAAAATCCTAGACTGATATATCCGTGACAAATTTATCTCAAACTAATTTTTTGACCACAAAAAACCCCAAACTAGTACGTATGTGACAAGTTTACCCTTCGTGAGTTTTCCTCTGTCGTTAAATTGCTGAGTTAGATGACACGTGATAGTTGATGGGTATACCTGTTTAGGGTTTTACCTCTCCGTTTGTCACAAGTTTACTAGTTTGTGATTTTTCGTGGTATTAATCCAATTTAACAAATGGTAAATTTATCACAAGTGTACAAGTCTAGAGTTTTTGGTGGTTAAATAATTAGTTTGGGATAAATTTGAAATAGGTGTACCGGCTTGAGGTTGTTGGTGGTCAAAAAAATTAATTTGATGTAAATTTATCACATACTATATTAATTTGGAGTTTTTCGTGATATTAACCCTTATATCTATTTATACCAAGAAAGTTCAAAGACCTAGTCGAGTAAACAAGAGTACTTTGATGAATGCAAGTGTACTTACCCAAAAAAAAATAATGACAAAGAATGATTAATAGTACTGAAAGATGATTGGGAGGTTCAAAGATATCAATCATGTCTTCTTATATCAATAAATTATCTCTATGTCAGTTTTGTCATATCCTGCTATAAACTCGAAGTAAATTGTTTTTTGAAGTATAGAGGTGCTGATAAAAAACAAGTGCGTTCATGAAACAACAGGAAGGTCTCTCTAGAAAAATAATATTCCAATTATTGAAGCCAATTACATAAAATAATACGAGAGTTTTTAAAGACTGTTTGATACCTAAATTTGCGCCTAAATGATCATATAGGTATTCCAAATAGTTAGGGGTTGAATTCATTGTTAACAACAGAATTCGACTCTTGAACAAAAACGTCGATCTTACATCTCGCCTTGGCCCTTGTCGACCATAGCAATGGCCGGTGAGGGCTTGGGCGAGGCTCTCGAAGCCCTCATCGGCCACAACGAGGGCTCGCGAGGGCGTGGCGATCCTCACCGGCCACAGCGAGGGCTCGCGAAGGCATCACGACTCTTGCAAAGGGGCCGGCGGGGGTCGCTGGCCCTCAGTCAGTGATTGGCCGAGGTTGTCGGCCCTCAACCAGCGATTGGCGGCCTTGTCGACCCTTTGAACCAAAAAGGAAAAAAAAAGAAAAAGAAAGAAAAGAAAATAAAAGTATAAAAAGTTGAGAAAACATTAAAATATTATTAGAAATTGTCAACATCAGCACTGGCTATACCATGTAGGATGGCGAGCGTTAACGTTAGCAATTGCAGGCCAAAAATTGATCGGATGGACTCAATTGGCAATTACCAAAAGATTTATGACTCAATTGAAAAAATTTAAAAATTTAGAATTGATTTGGCAAAAATGCAATTGATTTAAGACTTTTTGGACAATTTTAAGAAAAACAACACTCGAACTCATTAAGATCCATGGAGAATCCAAATGGATGTGGAGGATTACACTTGGAATAACTGTGGGCAGACCTAGATTTCTTCCTTTGCTGGGAGGCCGATTACACCTTTGGAGTTTGGACAATTGCGTCCGGATGCAATTCATCTTGGAAGGATGAGTCCAACTAGGGTTGACAATTCATGCATTAATTTCATAATCAAGTCTTGTCAAAATTCGAACAAAAAAAAAGGCCTGTCAAATTTAGCTATAATACGAATATCTCACATTCATTAATTCCGGGGATAATTGTCCACCCAAAAAAGTCTTGTCAAAATTCGACAAGAAAACAGTCTTGTCAAATTTAGCGATAATCCGAATATCTCACATTTATTAATTCTAAGGATAATTGTCCAAAAAGTCCTAAATATATTTTACGGTATCCTAAACTTTTCAATTTAGCCAATTTAGTCCCAAACCTTTTGACAATTTGTCAATGTAATCCTGGTGGAAAAAATTGGACAAGAATCGTTGATGTGGCCACCAACCGTCCGACGTGGCACGGTCGATACTAACGTGCAAGATTTTTACAATTTTTTTTAAATTTTTAAATTTTTTATATTTGTTTCTTTCTTTTTTTTAACCCTTGGTCATGGTTGGCAAGGGATGCCAAGCCCTCGCCCAGTGGCACTCGAGGGTTGCCGACCATCATTGAGGCCTCGGCTACCCCCTGCGGCCATTCCTAGAAGATGAACATTGAAAAAACTTAAAAAATATAGAAAAATTGTAAAATTGTCCATATTAGTGTCGGCCATTCCATGTAGGATAGTCAGTGGCCACGTTTGTGCTTTTCGGTCAATTTTGGCTACATGAAATACATCGGCAAACCGTAAAAAAGTTTATGACTAAATTGGCCGAATAAAAAAATTTAGGACTAAATTGGCCGTTAGAAAGTCCAACCTAAAAAATTAAACTGATAGGTGAAGGGAGATCACATGTAACACGAGTGGCATGTAAAATTTGATTAACACGAGTGGACCCACATGTGAAAGGGGCAAAACTTGGCTCTAATACCATATTAGAAAATCCAACTTGAAAGCTTAAGCTGATAAATGAGGGAGACCACATGTATATAAAGAGCATATAAACCCCATTATCAAATAATGTGAAATATTTCTACACAACGCAAGCACGTGTCTTTTAAACGAGTTAAGCGACATGATACATTTAACATGTTTAAGATATAACCTCTTATATGAACTTGTGAAGAATGTGTCTAAATATATTCATTACGGTGTCTAAATAAGTACCAAAATACGTTGTATAACATGGGTATCACGTTAGCCTATTCACTAAATATGTCTAAACATAGTGAAATAGTCAACTCGCAGAATACGTCTGCTATTCATGTATAAACAGGTTAACCTATTCATATACGATTATGGTTAAACTCATCTGAGCACACTTAATTACAAGTCACGTGTGTTGTATAGATGAATCGTGTCCCAAATTATTAGTCCGAGACTTCCTAGTTCAAACGGGCAATGGCTATTTTTGATCATAGTGTCCTCTATATCAGTCCAGAATTTCCATGCAATTTCTTACATGAGGCAACTTCGTCCTATATAGGATTTTTCTAAGATACCTTCAACCATTCCGAGGATATGCTCAAACAAGAGAAAAAAGTAGGCACAAAAAACCCTAAACTAATAAATATATAACAAATTTACCCCAAATTAACTTTTTGATCATCAAAAACTCCAAATTGGTACATATGTGATAGCTGACGGGTGTACCAATTTATGTTTTTTCGTGGTATTAATCCAATTTAAATAAAGGGTAAATTTGTTAGAAGTGTATCAATTTTTAGTTTTTTGGTGGTCAAAAAATTAGTTTGGGGTAAATTTATCACTTGAGTACCAGTTTGAGATTTTTTGTGGTAAAAATTGTAAGTGTACTAATTTGAGATTTTTTGTGATATTAATCCGAAAAAGTATATGTTATCTATAGAATATACACTGTTTAAGAATAGTATAAGCCGAGAACACACGGTCAGATGTTGACTTTTATTTGACTTGAAACTTAAAACTCGGCAAACGTCTGGAGCTTGAACTTTCCATGAACACCAAGTGGGTATTCTTTACGTTACAAGTGCCTTGTTTGTGTTATAACTCATTTCTCTAAATGGGAAAATAAACAATTGGAATTTGTGGGAAGAACTCCTAAAAAAATCTTAATGTTTGTTAAGCGATGTAATATAATTCTAAACCTTTCAATTGATGCATTCAAGTTCTATCAGAAATCGCCAACATGATAATTGAAAACGAGGCACGTTCTAGTAATTGCCATATGGGTGTGAAATTGCAGGTTGAGCTGACCGTAGACAACTAGATCGAGCTGACCGTCGGAACAACAAACTAATGCACTTTCAACGAAAGATTTAGGACTTGATTTCAGCATTTGAATGATCTCGAACCCAATTATGATTCATACATATAGTTTAAGACCTTCCTATACTTTTCTCAACAATTGGTGACCAAGGATTTCCTTTATTCACCAAATGTTGTCACTGCTTTTGGAAGAACTCAAAAGCTGCTCGAGATATTCAGGCCCCAGATCCTCAAGCACCACCAAATTCTGCTTCCCCATTTCCTCCTCATCCTTCTCTTGATCTTTCTTGACCACAAGCCTCTTCCTCATAGAATGCTTCCTCTTTAGTGCCTCCACAGGAGAGCAACCACCCACGAAGGTATACTCCATCCCCTTGAGCGACTCCCTAACCCTTTCTGGTGGGAAATTGAGCACGGCCAAGGGTCCCCGCAGGGCGAATGCGGCTTGGTCATAGGCCAGAGCGGCGGCCTCCGCCGTGTCGAACGTCCCGAGCCAGACCCGGTTCCCTTGCCGTGACGAGTCTCGGATCTCCGCTGCGTATTTCCCCCATGGCCGCCTTCTCACACCCCGGTAGGACTTCCTCTTCGGCTCAAGCCTCCCCGTCGCGAGGCCCGAGGTGACCTCCTCCTCGCCGACGCCAGTCGAGGACGCGGACTCGGATTCACACGATTCTTTCATGGTTCCTTGCGCTATGACTTCCAACAGAAGCCTGTCTTGAGAGTCGTCGAGGTTGAACGGGAGCGAGTTGTGGCTAGAGAGAAGCTCTTCCCAAGAGAAAGACTGCGGGGCATTGAAGGAATTTGGTGGTGCTGGGAGGTTTGGTTTCTTGTCATGGGAGAAATAAGATTCCATGTTCGAAGGTGACAAAGGAAACAACATGAGAAGATGGTTGGTGAGAGATTCAGTGGATTAGTGACAGAGAAGATGACTCTTATATACACAAGAGAGTGGGGATTTGATTCGATGGGAGATCAATTGATTATGTGAAGATTCAAATATGGTGGGATGTTGGAGACAAAAATATTCTAAAGCACATTATTGTTGATGTGGAGATAGGGCTACGATACATAAGATTGGACAATTTGAATAGTCATCAGAGGATTTTATATTTGGATGACCACCCTTTTGAAATAGTCGTCGAGCACGTGAGTCAAATGAAAGCATGGCGGCTGGTTGTTGGGCCAAAATCAAGTGTAGAATGATTGGTCTCAATTTCTTTTTGGTCACTAATTTCTTGAAATTGAAGGAACCAAATGAAGGATTTGATTACGTTGCTTGATGTCCAAGGACATTGCACTCTCCTCTTTTTCCTTCACTAGGTTCATGGCCAGACAAATAGTCTGCCTTGTGGGGCACGAGATAGTGGGAAAATTCAGCTTGTTCAGTGCCATTGATCCACATAGTATTTGATTTTTCATTTTGATTGGCTAATGGGTGAGAGGGCACGATCATTGCTAGTGACCTTTTCTGGGCATTATCCCACACCCGATACGGACTATTCAGAATGAGCTATGTTCAGATAGTATTTGGTTTAGATAAGAATGCTAGTGTAATTTCCGAAAAATTGAATTCAAATGAACTTAGATAAAAACTATGATTGATTTCTATTTGTGGGGGCTCATAGTAGGCCTAGTCTCCTGCAACTTCAATTGACGCAACCAATGTCTTGCTTATTCGAAAGCAAGCCTTGTGATGGTCCCTTGACTTGTAATTGCGCATTGGTAAGGTCAACGAGAGAAGCGACATTTATATCGTCACAAAAAGAGAACCGGTACCAAAGTGAGGACCACAATTTACAATCTATTTCGTTTTCTATAGCTAGATTTACATTTTGCTTCATCTAAAACTTATGCGATAAGACATGTCTATATTAACCCAAGGGACAAAGTGCGCACATGTCCAAAGACTTTTTCTATGACTAATGCCAAAAAACTGCCTTGAGGAATCCCACCTTGCAATGCCTCAATTGAGAAATGGTAACAATCCACACAAAATCCAATTTCTTTCGTAGCCTCTTAGTCAACATTGAGAGTCACAACATTTCCACGTTCGTAGACTCCACACTCCCAAGACAAAACGCGAAGAAAAACGAGTAGCGTTTTGGTTCTCGACAGTGATCAGTCAAGAACAATCAAACCCCATAAAGCTGATGCACTTCAATAAAGAATGTGGAATTTTTCCATTGATTGCGACAATTTGGAATAGATTTATTTCTCATGTAAACGTATGTGCTGATTCTAATGATGTGAAAGCTAGGGAAAGACCCGACCATGTTTTGATATAGTCCTAACCACTCAATCCTAGGATCCTCGCGCGAAGCTTCGCTCGGTGAAAAAGTTCAAATTGACATTTCCGTCGATAGTGGGGAGAGCCACAACCATAGCGCTTCATGCGACTAGACAAAAAAAAAATCCACAGCCACCATAGCATCGTCACCTTATGCTTAGATACGGAGCAAATAACCAAAAAAAAGTCCTAAACTTTGTTCCGATTTAGTTTTAAACCTTTTAATTTGGCTAATTTACTCCCTAAATCTATATTGCACTTGTGCTAATTTAGTCTTAAATCTTTCAGTTGTTCCAATTGAGTCATAAACATTTTGACAAATTACAAATATAGTCCTAAACCTATTGACAATTTGCCAATTTAGTTATTCCGGCTAATTTTGGTAAAAAATCGCTGGCGTGACGGTCTAGTTAGTGCCAATCGTGTCACCTAGGATGATCGCCGCTGACGTGGCGTTGATGTTGACTATTTTTGCAAAATTTTGAATTTTTTTTTCTTTTTTTCTTTCCTTTCTCTTTTTCTCTTATTTCCCTCTATCGGTTGCTAGCAGAGCTCACCGTATGCCGGTAAGGGTTGGGCGAGTCCCCTCGCCAGACTGTCGCCCAGCCCTCACTAGAGGCCGGCGGGGGCATCCCGGCCCTCACTTGGGCCAGTCCTTGCCAGAGGTTGGTAAGGGCTGGGTGAGGCCCCTCATCGGATTTGGCGAGATTAGCCTTGCTTGTGGCCGGCAAGGATGTCTCAGCTCTTGCCCTCGCCGGTAGCCGGCGGAGGGAAATAAGGGAAAAAGAGAAAGGAAAGAAAAAAAAGTGAAAATAGTTCATAAACTTTTTTAAAAAATTACAAAAATTATTCATGTCAGTGCTGACTGTGCCATGTGGGACGACCGTTGTTGACTGGACCGCCATGTCAGCGATTTCCAGCCTAAATTAGCCGGAAGGACTAAATTGGCAAATCGTCAAAAGGATTATGACTAAATTGGTAAATTGTCAAAATGTTTAGGACTCATTGGGCATAATTGAAAGGTTTAAGACTAACTTGGCAAATCGTCAAAAAGTTTAGAACTAAATTAGCCAAATTGAAAAGTTTAGGACTGAATTAGTACAAGTGCAATAGGTTTAAGATTTTTTTTTTGGTAATTTCTCCCTTAGATATACTTTTTCTTTTAGTCCATCATGATAAATAAATTAGGGTTCATACTTCATAAATATACTTGGGATTTCATGAACCAGTAAGATGCAAGCCGAAATATGCACGAGCAGTCCACATAAAGAATTTTTGGCCCGGATCATACGTTAATCCACACACATAGGTCGAGTCGTTAATTATAGTAAGCCAATCTTATCCGGGTATGCAGTTTCTCCTCTCTATGCATGTAATGTACATCAACAATTGCGTAAATCAATAAGATTGTGCTAATTAATATCTTTTTTCTAATGAATTTATGTGTTTTCAGCAATTCGAGGACATAGGAGTACGACAACAAGTTGAGTTTTGATATGTCGTGGTTTGAATATCGGACGATATTCATCTCTATCACAAACTCAATATCTAATATGGGCATCATTGTACCTTGCAACATACAGTTGCACTTGGTTGGAATCGATATTCTAAAGGTCATTAGATATTCTAAAGGCAAATAGTTGACTTCATTTCTATTGTGAAAATTACCGAAAAAAGTTTAAATCTATTATACGGATGCCAATTCAGTATTAAACCTTTTAATTTGGCCAAATTAGTCCTTTTGTCAATTTTTGGTCGAAAATTATTGACGTGGACGCCGGCCATCTTGTGGGGCACGTTCAGAGCTGAAATGAACAATTTTTTGATTAATTTATTTTTATTTTTAATTGTGGCCAACAAGGGTTGCCATTGCCTGGGCTAGCGACCCTCGCTTAGATTGGCCGGTGAGGGCCTTTGTGCCCTCGGGCAAAGGATTCCATGTGGCTTGGATATGTTATCACATTGCTTTTTAGTAAGTAAAGTGATGAAAAAATTATCCAAAAAGTCGTAAATTTATTGTATTATTGTCAATTCAGTTCTAAATTTTTTAATTTTACCAATTGAGTCCTAAATCTTTTTATTTTTTGCTAATTGAGTCCATTCGGCCAATTTTGGCCATAAAATTGCTAACACGCGGTTGTCCTACGTGGCACAACCGACGTTAACGTGGACAATTTTTAATAATATTTTAATATTTTATGAATTTTTCTATATAATTTTTTTGATTTTTTCCTTTCTTTTTTTCCCTATACTTTTTGCCCTCACCAGATCTAGCGAGGCCAACCCTCGGTTAGGCCACGGCTGCCTCGCCGGGTGTCGCCTTGGGCCGGGCAACGTCGAGGGCAAGGCCCCATGAGGTCGACCCTCGCCTAGGCCATGGCGGCCTTGTTCACCTCGCTCGGTGTCAGGCAAGGCGAGCGAAATCGACCTCGCTAGATTTGGCGATGCTAGCCTTCATCAGCCATGCATAAAGAATAGGAAAAAAGAAAAAAATTAGAAAAATTATTTAAACAATTCTAAAAATATTAAAATATCATTAAAAATTATCTATGTCACCGTTGTCTGTGCCATGTAGGATGGCTAGCATTTACATCATCGATTTCTGATAAAAATTGGCTAGATGGACTTAATTGGCAAAAAGTGAAAATGTTTAGGACTTAATTGCAAAATTGAAAGATTTAAGATTAAATTGGCAAAAGTACAATAGGTTTATGATTTTTTTAACAATTTTCCCTAAATCAAAGAATAAGTGGATATATTGGTAGAATCCCGCTCGAGCAACACAGGATGGACAAAAACTTATTGTGCCATACATGCTAATTCCAAAAGGGTCAATTTTAGAAATCGAGAAACCAAATTATAAGCAACTTACCAGATTTAGACCCGTCAAACGAATGGGTCAAGTACCATTTAACCCGTTCTGACACATTTTCATGTAATACAAATCTAGTGACCCATACTCGACCCGACACATTTTGCTAAAACATTTTCATACTTAACTCACTCTAGGAAAATTCATGCCCAAACTGATGTGGGAGCACGGAGTGAGTGAGAGCGAGATTGAGTGATGACGAAAAAGAGTCATAGAGGTGAGTTAGATCTAAGTAAGTTGTTGACCCATTTTTACCTATATTGTATTGGGTTTTACCTTTCTAAACCTATTTATGACCCATTTACCGAATATCATTAAATCATATAACAACTTAGTCCATCAAATATGAGTTAAAAAATGCATTTATAACCCATTTTAACAGGTCTAATTAGATGTACGCATACTTGTTGTGGAACTTCGATTCTCGTAGCGTGTGAACGTCTCTCATAAACTTCACCCTTCAGCAATGGGCTATTAACTTCTCTTTTTGATAAATAAAGTGAAGTTGAGAGACGATAAGGGCATTAGTTGGCTTATCGGTGTAAAGCACATTCAAGATTACCACGTGGGTTTGTCTTTGGAGAAGCACTCCTACTTTAGTTGACGATTTGGAAGTATCTCAATTCTTTCTTCATTGATCTCAAATTTAAGGCCCATCGGCCGAAGTAAACCCGGGATGGGCTCGGGGGCAAGTAAAAAAGACTATGCTAGCTCCAATACATCAAAGACAATATGTTGGACGGTGGGTTGGCCTAGAGGTGGCCACGGGCCGGTTTTGGCCCCGAACCGGACCGGAACCGGCCCGTTGACCGGGCCCGCGGTTCGGAACCGGAACCGGCCCGTGGCATACGGGCCCGGTTCCGGTTCCAGAAAAATTTGAACCGGCCCGGAACCGCCGG